CAAAGGGCTGGAGCCTTATTAGTCTTACTGACTTTTCACAGAAAATTGTTTTTCTCAATGTGCTCAGGATGATGTCCAGGCTTCGATACTCCACTGGCACTCCCTACCTCCAAGTGAGTACACACACACACACACACACACACACACACACACACACACACACAAAACTGGATTGGGAGTTCCTGACAGCACTGGCTGGGACTCTGTCCTCACATGAGTGAGTGAATCTTCAGCGTTGGTTAACAGCCATTCGTGTGTGGTGTCACCACTCCTGTTGTCCAGGACACGCTAAACTTGCTTGTTTTACTGCCATTCGATACCAGATTTAATTTCACTCTTTAAAACTCTCCTGACGGAAGCAGTTTATTTTCCAGCTAGAGACCCATCGTTGCACTGGGCTTTTACTCAGGTGGGATCAGTGTTAGATCTGCTTTGCCTGCAGATCTCTGTTAGCTGTCAAATTAATTTAGATGCCTTCCTTTGGCCATCACTGATTGACTTTTCCTTAATTTTCTATTCATTTCCTCCCATTTCAGTTATAGATGGAGTTGATTAAGTGGTTTCGTGTAATCAAGGACAGCATTCCATTTTTAGTATCATCAGTGCAGAGCTTGTAAGTCAGGGGGTGAATGAAAACAAGCAGGTAACAAGCGGGTTTGAAAATGGAGAGGGAGCTTAACAGGAGACCTCCCTCCAGACGAAGTGGCTTCAGGGATTTCATGGGGGAGCTCTTGACCAGTAGAACTTGGGAACCAAGACATCAGACAGTGGTGGGGCATGCACCTGGTGTGTTCGTTTCCTGGTGCTGCTATAACAGATTACCACAAACTTGGCGGCTTAAAGCAATGCAAAATTATTCTCTCACAGCCTGGAGGCTGGGAGCCCCAAATCAGTTTCTTGGGGCCAAAATCAAGGTGTCAGCAGGACTGAGCTCCCTCCAGAGCCCCAAGGGGAGGTCTGGACTTGGTGTCTTCCAGCTGCTGGTGGCCGTGTCAGTCTCTGTCTCTCTCTGTCTTCACATTGCCTGCCCCTCTGTGCACCTGTCGGTCTGATCTCCTCCCTCTAAAGACACTTGTGATGACATTTAGGGCTCACCCAGTCAACCCAGGGCAGTCTCCTCATCTCAAGACCCTTAACTTCATTATGTCTGCAAAGACCCTTTCCCCAAATTAGATAACAGTTCCAGGTCCCAGGAATTAGGATGTGGACCTAACTCTGGGGGACCATTTTTTTGGGCTACCCAAATACGAGGCCCCTTCACAGAAGGCCTCTGTAGGATGCTCAGGGCCAGAGCTGGACAGGCTGGTGTTAGGATGCGAGGCTGAAGGGGTTTCCACTGGGTGTCCCCCAGCACCGTGGATCACTTCATTGGCTTGGCCCTTCACCTTCAGGTAAGGGAGGAGGATGGGCTCTAAGAAGAGCAAGAAGAGAGAGAAGCTGGGAGACGTGTTTGGAAATGCTGCGTTTGCTCAGAAGTATGAAGTACAGGAAGGACCACCCGGAGGAGGGCCGGTGTGCACACCTGAGCCCGGCGTGTTGGAACGAAGCACTGATTGTTACGGTTGTGATAATCATACCATGGCGAGCGATAATGACGGTCCAACCTCATGGAAGGGGCCACCTGTACCCTCCTTTCTGTTCCGAGGGGTCTGCACTGTAGACATTTGCTAGCCAGTTACTGGAGCTTCACGGGGTCCCACTTTGACAAAGAGGTTGGAGGTCCAAAACCCTGGCGTGGGCTGTTTGAGCCCTGGGGGTGGACCTGGGAGGGAGCTTGTGGCGACTTCGCTCTCTGTGGGTCGCATGGGCATGGGGGGAAGCACAGGGAGGGGGAGGAGAGGGAGATAGGAAAAAGGTGACATCATTCACGGCCACCAAGGAGGTGCCCACCATGTTTGGAAATGCATTCCCGAGGGGCAGCCTCACAGTTTTGGAGGTGGAAGTTTAAAATTAAGTTGTCAGCAGGAGCCTCTAGGGGAAGTTCCTTCCTCGCCTCTTCCAGCTTCTGGTGGCTGCCAGCATTCCTTGGCTCATGGCCCCATCACTCCAGCTCTGCTTCCTTCTTCCCACGTCATTCTTTCCGTTCATTTGTGCTGAAGCTCCTGCTGCCTCTGTTTTATAAGGACACTGTGAGGACAATAAGGGCCACCTGGATAATCCAGGTTAATCTCACTTGAAAATTCTTCACTTAATTGCATCTGCAAAGACACTTTTCCCAAATAAAGTCACATGGACACAATCCAGGGATTAAGACTTAATATCTTTGGGTAGCCATTATGCAACCTAGTATAGGTAGTTAAAGCGCTAACTAAATAAATTATCCTAACAACAATCGTGGGCTCTGTTAAAAAAAAGGGCAGATTGTATTACTGCCAGGCTTATAGAGTGTTGTTTATTCACAGCACTTTTAAGAATTTCATTGCTGAAGGGTGTAATTTTTTAAACATTGCAACACAGAGTCAAGTGAAGACAATACCTAATTGTATTTTTCATCATCTCTCTCTCCCCCCACTTACCCAAGAGGATGGATATGGATATATGTGTGTATGTATGTGTGTGTGTGTGTGTGTGTGTATATTTTTTGGGGGGGGGCGTCAGGAATAAGTACAGTTAATTTAGCATCTCTAGTACTACTTGGGGCCAAACACAGCAGGAATGTCATTTTAGCTTCTGTGGGCTGAGAGCAAGGGCCCAGCTGACTTGGGACAGACCAGACCCCCCCGGCTGCCAGGACAAGGCTTGGGCCTGTTCAGCTCCCCGAACGTCTCTATTAAAACGAGACTTGTTTCTCCAGAAGAGAGAGTAGATGAAGCTGTTAACAGCCATTTTTGCATTGACGATGCCATCGGTCAGTCACTTAGGGGCCACTGAATGTTGATAACGGACCGTGTGCTGTGAAGGGGTAGAGGTCCCCCCGGTAATTCTCACCACGGATGACCCGTGCGTGCGTAGGAATGCAGGGGAGGTGAGTTTAGGGGAATATGTCCGGAAGGGAGGTGGTGGCCCAGTTAGCCTCTGAAGGACGGGGACGCTTGAGTGGGTGAAGGGGGTGACGAGGGTACGGAGAGTGGCAGAGTGGGTGTTGGGGGAGCAGGGACACCTGCCCGGGAGGAAGAGCCTGGCGTCGGGGCTGGACAGCAGTGGGGCTGATGGGGACGACGCCAGGGACTCCGAAGAGCTTCCGCACACTTATTTATTTATTCTTTTTTTTTTCCCCTAAATTTAAAGTCTGCCTTTGATTTGGACTCCTCTCCACCTTTTAAAAAGTATTTTTCAGATCCTTTTGTAGTTCATAAGCGTGATGATTGGGTTTTCACGCGCATGCGTGAGATGTGCCTCCCTCAAACCTTGTTACGACATCGGCACATTAACCGTCTGACATGAAAAAAAAAAAAAGGATTTTTCCAGCTTTATTGAGGTTTAATGGACAGATAGATATCGCATGTGTTCAGGGTGTCTGGTGTGGCCTTGTGTTGTGTGCAGGTTGTGAAATGGTGACCACAGTCACGCTCAAGAACAAACACATCCGTCACCTCACAGGGCTATCGTTTATCCTGTGTGTATGGTGGGAATGTTAAAAAGATCTACTCCTGCGACAGCTTTCAAGTGTACAATACATTATTATGAACTGTGGCCACCATGCGGCGCGTTGCATCTCAGACATTCATTCATTCATTCATTCATTCATTCATTTATTTATTTCATCAGGAACCATGACTACAAAAGAATGTTGGAGCCTCTGGCTGAAATCATGTATTTACCTGCGTTTATTTACCGATCTATCTGTCATTTATTTCTCTATATACTTGTACCTCTGTATATTGCATATTGCATATGATGTATTTCAAGTGCATTGTGAAACAGGTTGAAAGTATAATTCACGAAAACAGGGAATAAATAGAAACGGAATGTCCACTGTCTGCGTCCTGCACCCAGTGGCCCCATAGCCAGGCACGAGAGCGCCCCCATCTCACTTAGAGACAGTGCTGCGACAGGGGTGCTGGGGGGCAAGGTCCGGAATGAACCAGACAGCCGGAGGGGAGGGGAGCAGGGAGGAAGGAAGGAGGGGGAGAAGCAGTTGCCATCCAGTCAATGGCTGGTTGCAGTAGAGAAGGGAATGAAGACGAAAGAAAGACAGGGCGAAAGCAATGGTGTGTCTTAGGGCTCGGTGAGTGGAGAGACGACTCCTCTCAGAGGATGGGGGACAGTTGGGGACAGATGCAGATGTGGGCGGAAAAGACAGTCTTGCCTTCCCTTCTGTCCCTTCATCTTTCCCTCTGTTTTTCCCTCCCTCCCTCCCACCCTACCTTTCATGACAAGTCGGTTGTGGGGGAGACAACCCAGGAGGAGCCTCCTGTGGGTAGCTGAGATGTGACTCTGCAGGTTGGGTCCTAACAGCGGGGCTGGGAGCTCCCCTGGGAGGTCATTCGCCAAGGGGAAGAGGTGGTCACTAGGGGCCAGGGACGCTGGAGGCCTCAGCACCTGTGCAGGGTGGAGAACGGGTGGGGAAAGGCCAGGGGTGCTGCAGTGTTGGGCAGTGCACCCCTGTCCCTAGCCGCACCCCGGAACTAAGACTGGGGGGCAGATTTATTAATACCCGTTTCAGAAGCAGGGGTGTGGGGGGGGACCAGATCTGGAGGAGACGATGGTGGGTCCTGAGAGAGACAAGGGGAGCCCTTTGCTGCAAGTGTAATTGGCTTTTTCATCCACCTTCTCCCGCAGAGAAATACGTTTGACATTAACCCTTCACGGAGCCTTCCAGACAGCCACGCAAGTTTGCTTAAGTCAATTCCAGTCTCTTTTTAAATAATTGAATCTTTTGATTTTTCCTGATATATTATATTTTTCTTCCCCCCACCTCCCTTGATGCTGTTTAAATAAGGCGTTTCTCCTATTGCAGATTAATAGTGATCTTATTTTCCCAGGGTTCCCGTGAGTAGCCAAGGGACCACCTTTGCCTGCCATGTCTGATAACAGGCATGTTCTTGGTTTCTCCTTAGGTGGCCATAAAAGTCATCGATAAGAAGAGAGCCAAAAAGGACACCTATGTCACCAAAAACCTGCGGCGAGAGGGGCAGATCCAGCAGATGATCCGCCACCCCAACATCACACAGCTCCTTGACATCTTGGAGACGGAAAACAGCTACTACCTGGTCATGGAGCTGTGCCCGGGCGGCAACCTGATGCACAAGATCTACGAGAAGAAGCGGCTGGAGGAGGCCGAAGCCCGCAGATACATCAGGCAGCTCATCTCTGCCGTGGAGCACCTGCACCGGGCTGGGGTGGTCCACAGGTAAGTGTGCCCCCCCCACTCCTCGCCCAAAGAGTGACACTGTGCTTCAGCGCACCCCAAGCAAGGTTGGGTGGTTATAGCCTGTTTTACAGTTCTCCCACATTTTTACTCCATGGAATTGTTTTGTACTGGGTCAATGCCAGTGTGGGGGTTAAAAGAGTGACATCGAAAGCCAGAGTGGCGGGGCTTGTGTCCTGCCTCTGGCCTTTAGTAGTGTTTGACCTTGAGCAAGTTACTTAACTTCTCTGAACCTTGGTCTCTTCATCTGTGAAATGGGAATAATAATGACGCTTCTCTCTTGGTTGGTGTAGGGTCAATGAGTTAATGTATAGAAAGGGCCTGGAATAGCGTTTGGTACCTTGTGGGCACCATGAAAGTGTTGGCTGCTGTTCTTTTTATTATTTGCAGCCTGATGGGGCCAGTTGCTCGGGGGGGGGGGGGCTGAAAGAAGCACCCGTGTTAAGATGGCATGAGATTATTTTCCACCAGTGCTAGGGATGGTGCTTCCATTGAATTTGCTGTACATGTAGTAGCTGCTGCTCAGTGGCTGTTTTATTCAATTGAACTGGATCACCATTCGTATTGTCAACTTGCCATTGAAATCAGTCGGGTATTCCCCATAAGCCAAACCAACCTTGCAAGTAATTTTGAAAATCCAGCTGGTTTTTACCAGCCTGTCCCCTACTAGGCAGGGGCTTCACAAAGAAAGTGAATGGAAACAGCATTCTCAGCAATGTTGCCCTTGGTCGTGGGTGCCTACTTTTAATACTGTATGAAAATAAAATACATTTCAAAACATTAAAGTGCCCTCTTTTCCTCCCAACAGTGTTGGCTTTACCAATAAATGCATGGTTCTTCCTTCATAGAATTATAATCAATTATTACTCTAGGTTGTTGAGAAAATTAAAAATCATTTTTAAATGGTTCTCATTTTAAAAAGCAAGACCAAAGCATAAAATATGTGTGTATATATATATATATATATATAAACATATGTGTACACATTTGTCAAGACATTTTTGATTGATATACTATAGTGTATATATACTATAGTACTATAGTGTGATTCACATACTATAAAATTTGCTATTTAAAAGTGTATAATCCAGTGGATTTTAGTATATTCACAGAGTTGTGTAACTATCACCACTATCTAATTTTAGAATATTTTTATAAACCCCCCCCCCCAAAATAAAGAAACCCTGTTCCCGTTAGCAGTCACTCCCCACTCCCCCCTGCCCCCAGCCTCTGGGAACTCCTAATATACTTTCTGTCTCTGGATTTGCCTCTTCTGGACATTTCATAGAAATGGAATCATACACAATGTGGTCTTCGGTGATTGGCTTCTTTCACTTAGAATAATGTTTTTCAGATTTGCCTGTGTTATACAGCACATTATCAGTACCTGCTTCTTTGTTATGGCAGAATAATATTCCATTGTATGGCCACGCCACAACTTGTGGATCCATTCATCATGTGATGGACCCTGGGTTATTTCCAGATGTTGGCTATTGCGAATACTGCTGCCGTGATTTGTGCATACAAGCCCTTTCTCTGGGAGGACTCCGCTCCAGGAAGTGGAATTGCTGGGTCATGTGGCAACTTTCTGTTTTAACTTTTGGAGGAGACACGTATTTTTAAAAAATTCAACATTTAATGACGAATCTAATTTTAATTTTAATAATGATAATCTAATTTTACCTGGTTGAAAGCCATTCATCTTCTGATCAGTGAAGAAAGCAGCTTCCAGGCTTTTACTTAATGGAACTCTGAGACTTTCAAGGCGGGGAGAGACGTCTCCTTGCTATTGGGAATGGCACCGTGGGGTGCTCTGCCCTGTCGTGTCTAAACCCAGGGACACTGTGGGGAGGTCCTTGCCCAGAGCCAGCCCGGGCCAGGCACCATTGAGACCTGTGATTTCCTCCTCCCTGAGGCCAGAGAACCTCTTCACCTACATTTTCTTAGTCACACATTGTTGTCATGAGATCACGCTTTGTTAGAACTCTCTGGGTTTAGATCAGCGAGGAAGAGAACATTCAGAAATTTTAAGTGAATAACGCTATTTTTGGCTCTTTCCAACAATAACCCTGTGTAGCCTGAAGTGTCATAGCTCTGCCATTATTAGGAAAATGACGGTCGGTCGTTAAGTATGCCTGGCTTTTTGTTTGCTAAGGTGACAACCGGCAGAAACCTCATGAATGAGTCAGTTTGCATTACCGAGTCCACGGGTCACAGTGGAAGGTAGAACCAGGGGAACTGTGAGGGGCAGAGCTTTTGGGGGGACTTGGGGTGTTTTTCCAAGGGTTTCGTGCTGTCAAAAATTCGACGAGCAACGAGCCGCTCAAGGACAGGAAGGGAGAATCAGGTGAAAGCCGTACATTGCATACTGACCTCTGCTGCAGGAAGTTCTCAACCACCCTTTAAAAACAATTTTAACAATATCCAATCCCTCTCGGTGCAGTTACTGTCAGGATGTCAAAAGCAATGAATTTAATAATGTTTTGATCGCAAAGACGGTATACTTTTTCTTTCTCTGATCTCCGACTTTCTACTTTTTGTCTTTCTCCCCTTGGAAATATATTCATCATCCTATAATGGCGAGGGCTCAGATCTTTTAAAGTTAAAGAAGGTTGGAAATGATACGCATTGTTGAGGAGGATTTCTTCTTTTTTGTCTCTAAGAAATCATGTTGATGTGTGTTACCGCACACGGACATAGGTGATTAAGCGGTGGAGACATCACATTGAGACGTTTAGAATATATCCATGGGTGGCTCTAATGGCATGTCTTGACTTTCAAAGACTCTAGACCACTAACTTTTGGCATTCATAGTCTGGTTGACCACCGGTATGCTCTTTTCTGTTAGCCCTTGCAGTGGTGGGGAATTTTAGCCTTAGCTGCAAAGGTAGGATACATTTCATAAATTATTTTGAGGTTAGGTTTTTTTTCAAGTGAATAACAGAGTATAGTATTTCAGTGAGGCCCTGCAGTCCCTGGTGGGCAGATTTCTGAGGAAATACATTGGATTGTCAAAAAGGATTCAAGATGAATTTTTGTGGCTGCATGGATACAATGATTTAAAGGGCTTTCGGCTCTGTGTGTTAGAAGAGGCTTTAAAAAACGCGCTTGGTTCCTGGTCAGGCTGGTATTATGTCGTTATGTCATAACTTAATGCTAGCAGTGCCCTCATTTCCTGTCGTATTAAATCTAAATATTTAATTATCTAACCCGGAACTATTTAAATATCATTTAAAAGAAGCAAATCTTTAAACATCCTGTAAATATATATATATATTTTTTGAGACAGAGTCTCACTTTGTTGCCCAGGCTAGAGTGAGTGCCGTGGCGTCAGCCTAGCTCACAGCAACCTCAAACTCCTGGGCTCAAGTGATCCTCCTGCCTCAGCCTCCTGAGTAGCTGGGACTACAGGCATGCGCCACCATGCCTGGCTAATTTTTTCTATATATATTAGTTGGCCAATTAATTTCTTTCTATTTATAGTAGAGACGGTGTCTCGCTGTTGCTCAGGCTGGTTTTTAACTCCTGACCTCGAGCAATCCGCCCGCCTCGGCCTCCCAGAGTGCTAGGATTACAGGCGTGAGCCACCGCGCCCGGCCCATCCTGTAAATATTATACGTAGAATTTTAATAAAAAGGAAACTTAAACCCTCGTAAAGCAGATTCCCTTAGCTGGCTGGCAGAGAATGTCAAGAAATTGGACTTGCCATAGCGTCTGCGTCTTTTGCTGCAATAGGGCCATTGTTAATTTTTACAGAGGTAGAGTGTGGTCTAACGTCTTCTTTACTCCTTGTTAGAGTTGCCTGAGATTCTCTAAGATTATGACGAGTTGTTTTTTTCTGCCCTCAAATGTGCTCACCCAGCGAGATGCCAAAATCCGATGATTTGCCTATTGTATGCAGAGCGCCAACTCTTAACGTGAGTCAACAAGAACACGGATTCCGCTGAGAGGCTAATTTGAGATTCATGTTTCATTCAGACTAACAAAGTCCAATCAGACTGTACAGGCACAACATAAGAGGGTAGTACAATACCGCCATCCCCGAGCAGGAAAAGACAAGCTATGGGGCCACAGGACTGGGAGGAAGAGACACACGATCAAAGAGCCCAGAGGAGGCCGTGCTTGGATGTGTGTCAGGGCTGTGGCTCCAGGGCCGTGACCTTGTTCGTTCATCAATACTGGGAAATGGCCCCCGAGCTCAAGAGGAACGCAGGGCGGGAGAGGAGGCTCTTTGTTCGCTGGGCCCTGACAAGAAGCAGGCACAACCTGTGCTCCTGGGGGATTAAGAAGTTCTTTTAACGTTCAGGTTTTCTTGAAGAGGGGCAGGTGGGGAAGGCAGATGAGAGGGGAATGGTTTCTGCTCACCTCTGGGAGCTCTCTGGGATCCCAGGGCCTGCTGAGAGCAAGCCTGTACATACCCAGAAGCACAGGCGATATAGCAAAAGTTTTGTGCTTAATTGGGTTTAAAAAGATAGGCGCTGGGTATAGTGGCTCATGCCTATAGTGGAGGCAGGAGGATTGCTTGGGGCCAGGAGTTTGAGACCAGCCTGGGCAATATAGTGAGACCCCATCTCTACAAAAAATAAAAGAATTAGCTGGGTGTGGTGGCACGCACCTATAGTCCTAGTAGGTACTTGGGAAGCTGAGGCAGGAGGCTCACTGGAGCCCACAAATTCAAGGCTGTAGTGAGTTATGATCGGGCCACTGCACTCTAGCCTGGTGACAGAGTTAGACACTATCTTTTTTTTAAAAAAAAACATGGGATTGGAAATGTGAGGTTTTGCAAAGCTCTAGCCCAACAACTCTGTGGCTCGGGATATACAGTGGTCAGTGGCATTGCTTCTAAAGCTAGACTGCCTGTGTCCCCATGCTGGCTCCTCCACTTAAAAGCAGCATTGGGTAAATGACTCAGGCTTTTGTGCCTCTCTTTGCACATCTACACAATGGGGATAATGGATTATGCACTTTACATGGTTGTTGTGAGGATTAACTGAGTCAATCCATGTGAAGTGCTCAAAGCCAAGACACTGCCTCAGGACCAAGTATGTGTTTCCCTGTAATTATTGCTCATTTTATACGCTCTGCAGCTGTTCTCTGCTTGCACCTTCCTTGCTGTCTTTGCCTGGCTGAATCCTACTCATCCTCAAGTCCCAGCTCCAAGCTCACCTTATCCAGGAAGCCCTCCAGGTTGGGCCCCCTGATCGTAGATTCCCACGCTCTGCTTTGTGTCCCAAACACTTATCCCACAATTACTTACTTGTTTGATATCTGTCTTCAGTACTGGCCATAGCTGAGCCCCGTGCCCAGCCCAGGGGGCACACAGTAAGGCTTTGTTGAATAAATGAAGGAAAATGGAATGAATACTGCTAGTGTCAGAGTTTGCGCTGGGGTGGAAGCCTTTCTGGTAGCCAGTGGCGTGTTCTTTCTGGACTATTCCAAATTTTCCCTGGGATTTCAGGGGAGTTTCTTCACTGACTTATGCCAGTTTGTTTATTTTTCAGGTCACAATTTGTAGAGTGGTATCTTTCTAGTGAATAGCTCTTTTCATTTTTATAAACAGAATTCACTTCTAGAACATTACAGGAACTCAATAAAGGTTTCATTTTGAATAAGTAAATCAGGGACCTGCTTAACAAATTATTCTTGTGTTTTATCAAAATGTCTATTATTGCTAATAAATCAAAGATTTGCAAATCATTTGATTTTAATACAGTGCTTCTGAGGATAAGACCTACCCAAAAAACTTTTGTTTCCTGCAGAAGCCTGTTGCCTCAGCAGTTGTGTGCTTGGGGAGTTTTGGATGCTTTGATCTTATTATTAAAATCCATCTTGTGGCCATCCCCACGGGCAAAACGTTCTCCCCCAGACTTAATCCTGCCTGAGTTTGGTCTACCCTCCCCGGGCTGCTTCTCTCGTGACCTTTCACGTGGGGGGCCGTGCCCCCTAAAACTGTTTGCTATGGCCAAATTAATCACCCTTCTTAAGTCTTCTCTGTGCTCTTTCCTCTTGACCTTGTCTTATCATCTTTACCTTTATTAGCCTCAGCTCCAGCCTCTCACCTCATAACCGTGCAGTCTCATTGGAGGGGCCCACAAAGGACTTAGGTGTGCCTCCTCTCATTTACTTCTTCCCCCTGCCTGCTGGGTAACCCCTCTTATGCTGGCCAGCTTCCAAGGAGGAATCAGAGCTCGGAGAGTGGAAATGACTTGCCCAGGGCTGGTCAGTGGGTCAGTTAGAGTCCATTGTGGCCAGTCTTGGATGCTTTGAGATGACTATCTTTAGAGAAATGCAGGGAGAGTTTAGAGGGGTGGGGGGAAGGTGGGTGGTAGTCTTTTGTGAACCTTTAATTATTAGTAATGGCCTGTTAGTGCTAGTTCTTTTGAAAGAATCTAGATTAGGTGATTAGGTGATACCTGGAGGGTATTGTTGAGGCTCAGAAAACATCACCCCCAAAATGAAGGCTTCAGAAGCAAAAGTTTTTCTCTGATCTTCCCCTGTCCTCCTGTCTCTCAGTCCCATTCTCTCCTGGGGCTAGCTTAGCCTCAAAAACTGGAATCCCTCTTCCCCAAGGTGGGTCTTAGAAACCAGAGCTTCTTTACTCGAAAGCCAGCCGTAACACCTAACAATATTCTGTGTAAACCTGGCCATGAAGAAATTAACTGACCTACCTTGACTGTGGGTCATAAGACCCCCATTCGAGAGAGGGCCCTGCCCCACACCCAGAAGGAAGGATGCTGCTCAGAGAGGCCAAGAAGGATCTAGACAGACAGGCCTTGCTGGGTGTCCCCACCCAGTCTGTTAGCATTAGATCAGTCCCTTCTTGTCCAGTCGTGTTTCTATATGGGGCTGTCTCTGCTTTGTTGAACCTAAACATTAAAATGGACAACGTCCCCTGTATCTTTGTGCCTTCACTCTGAAGGCTCCCCTGTATGCATGTTAAATACATGTGTGTGCCTGTTCTCCGTCGGCCCCATGTCAGTGGTTTGTCAGCGAACCTTAAGGGGGCCGAGGGCCTTGGACTCTGCAGGGGGGAAGAGTCTTCTTATCCCGGTGTGTCTCTAGGTCTCCGGACAAACAGCCCCACACACGATGGAGTCAGGTCTGTAGAGGGCCTTGGTGACGAGTGCCATGGGACATTTCTCTCTGGAACGGCCCGTCAGCAGAGGAGTTCCAGAAGCCTCCTGGGCCCGCGCCCACCTTCCCTCCTGCAGCCTCTTCCCTTCCGGGCTCGCTCCCTCAGCTCCCAAAGGGGCGCTCCAGGCTTCTCTCATTTGGTTTGTTCCCAAGACATTCTGTGTCCCCTCACCCAGCACTGTCCTGGTCAACCCACCTTCCAGCGCCTTCTACAGGTCACGCCCCGTCCCCATGGAGGCTTCCCCTGAATCCTCTCCGAAGCCCCTCTGGCCTAGAAAAAGCTATCTCGCATCCATCCAGGGGCCGTCCCCCTCGCCTTCCGTAAAGTTTTAAGTTCACACTGGACTTGGAATGTACCTGCCAC